AGGGGAATTGAGGGGGAGGGCACGGAATTGAGGGGGGGGTCCTGTGGGGGGCATCGCCTCAGGGTGGGGGGGTCACTCTCGTTGGGAAAATTGAGGCGGGGGTCCCCGATTCAGGGGTCTGTGGTCGCCTCAGGGAAGGAGGGACCCCCGGTTGAGGGGGATTTGGGTGGGGGTCACTCCCCAGCAGGAAGGGGCTCAGGACCGGGGAGGTTTTTTGGGGGGGTCAGGAGTTGATTTTTGGGGTCAGAATTTGATTTTTTGGGGTCCAAACCCGGTTCGGGGGTCAGGAAGTTGGGGTTGGGGTCGGCAAATTGGGGGTTGGGGTCTATAACTTGGGGTTTGGTGAGTCGAGCACTGATCAATAACCAATAATTGATCAATATTCCCTAGGAAGGGTGTGCTACTTCAGTCACCTGATGGTGGGGTCAATCCTGGGGTCTATAACCAGGACTTTTGATACCAATCAGTAACCGATCAATACCCAATCACTGATCAATAACCAATAAGTGATCAATAGCCCCTCAGGACACGTGTACTGCTTCAATAACCTGGTGAACACGAGTCAGTGGGGTCAATACTGGGGCCTGTGAGAGGGGTTTTGGTGTCAATAACCAGGATTTGTGATACCGATCAGTAACCGATCGATATCCAATAACCAATAAGTGATCAATAACGGATCGATAACCCCTCAGGCCGCATGTACTACTTCAATCACCTGACGAATGCCAGCCAGTGGGGTCAATACTGGGGCCTGTAAGAGGAGTTTTGGTGCCAATAACCAGGATTTGTGATACCGATCAGTAACTAATCACCGATCAATAACCAATAACATATCGATAACCCCTCAGGACACTTGTACTAGTTCAACCACCTGACGAACACGAGTTAGTGGGGTCAATACTGGGGCCTGTAAGGGGAGTATTGGCGCCAATAACCAGGTTTTGTGATACCGATCAGTGACCAATAACCAATAAGTGATCAATAATGGATCGATAACCCCTCAGGCCGCGTGTACTACTTCAACCACCTGACGAACGCCAGCCAAAATGGGAATGCCGGGAATACTGGGGGGGGTTTGGTGGGCTTTTCATCCGCGTGGGTGGATGCGCGTCCGTGCGTCGCGTTTGTGTTCTCTGGTGCTCATCAGCGGTTTCTGGGGAGGAATTCCAGGAGTTCTGGGAATTCCGAGGGATTTGGGATGGTTGGGATGTTGATTTAATAACGTTTTAGATGAACGTTTGCACGCGGTTTATATTTGATTGATAAGTCTGTGAGGTGGGCATTCTTTATCGGTCATCAATGACTGATAGGAAGAGGGAATTCTGGGAAGGAATCCCAGGAATTCCAAAGGATTTGCAGTCTCCCAGGACTCCACCCCAAATTCCACATTTTTCAGCACTAAAATTCTACAATTACCCAAAATTCATCCCGAGATTCCTTCCCTGAAAGGCTCTTTTCCCCAATTTTCCCATTTTTGGGGAAAAAAGCTCCCTGAAAATGGCTGGTTTTTGGGAAAAAGCCCTGAGAATGGCAATTTTCTGGGAAAAAAAGCCTGGGAATGGTGATTTTGGGAAAAAAAAAGTAGGAATGGTGATTTTTTGGGGGAAAATACCCCCAGGAATGTTGGTTTTGGGGTGGTTTTGGGGCTCTGTCTCCTTTCCCGTGGTATTCGCGGCACCCAGGGAATTTTGGGAGTGGTTTTGATCCCTAAATTTGGTGTTTTTTTCCCGTGTTTTTTTTTTTTCCAGGTTACATCCAGAAGATCAAATCAGGAGAGGAGGATTTTGAGTCTTTGGCTTCGCAGTTCAGCGACTGCAGCTCGGCCAAGGCCGGAGGGGACCTGGGAGCGTTTGGGAGAGGTGAGGGATTCATCCCAAAAAACCCCAAATCCCTCAGCTGCAGAGGATTAATCCCAAAAAAAAACCCCCAAATCCCTCAGTTCCAGGGGATTCATCCCAAAAAAAAAAAACCCCAAATCCCTCAATTCCAGAGGATTCATCCCAAAAAAAAACCCCAAATCCCTCAATTCCAGGGGATTCATCCCAAAAAAAACCCCCCAAATCCCTCAATTCCAGGGGATTCATCCCATAAAACCCCAAATCCATCTGTTTTCGGGGATTTATCCCCCTCAAAAACCCAAATCCCCAATAATTCCAACTGTGATCCATCCACCGGAAGGAACTTCTGGAATCAACTCCCCCCCTTCAATTCCCACATTTTTCTTTGGGAAACGCCCCAAATCCCAAATTTTTCATGGAATTTTGGGTGCTACCACCTCTTTTTTTAGGGCCCAAACCTTTTTTTTCCCCTCTTTATGACACAAAATCCCATCTGGGATCGATCCAGTGGAACAAACTCCCGGAATCGATCCCCCCCTTCAAATCCCAGAGTCCTCTGTGGGAAACGCTCCCAGATCCCAAATTTTTTTTTGTTTTTCTGTGGAATTTTGGGCTGCAGGGCAGATGCAGAAGCCATTCGAGGACGCCTCGTTCGCGCTGAGGGCCGGCGAGATGAGCGGCCCGGTGTTCACCGAGTCCGGCATCCACATCATCCTCCGCACAGAGTGAAGTGCCTTCCCGGGAATTCCGTGGGGAATCCGGGTGGGAATTCGTGGGGAATCCCCGGGGAGTCTGTGAGGGATCTGTGGGAGTCCTCAGGAATCCGCGGGGATCCTGGGGAGTTCACGGAAATCCATTGGAATCCATAAAAGTCTGTTAACTCCACGGGAAGCCATGGGAATTCTCAGGAATCCGCGGGGATCCACAGGAAATCCACGGGAATATATGGAAATTCACCGGAATTCATGGAAGTCCATGGAAATCTATGGGAGTCTATGGAAGTCCTCAGGGATTCGTGGGAATTCACGGAAATCCGTGGGGGTCCGTGGGAATCCTGGGGAATTCATGGAAATCCATTGGAATCCATAGAAGTCTATTAACTCCATGGGAAGCCATGGGAATTCTCCGGAATCTGCGGGAATCCTCAGGAAATCCATGGGAAACCATGGAAATCCATGAAAATCCACAGGAATTCCTGGAAGTCCATGGAAATCTATGGGAGTCTATGGAAGTCCTCAGGAATTCATGGGAATTCACGGAAATCCTCAGGAATGGATGGGAATCTGTGGAAATCCTCAGGAATCCGTGGGAATTCATGGAGGTCCATGGGAATCCTCAGGAATCCATGGAATCCGCGGGAACCCCGCCCCGCGCTTCCCGCCACAAACTCCAGATCCCAAAACTCCTCCGTGATTCCGCGTCCTCCTCCCGGGCAGGAGCAAAAACGGGGAATTCCCGGGGATTCTGGGAATGCTCCCGGCGGTCCCGGCTCCGGGAACGCAGCGCCCGCCGGTGGTAGTGGTGACGATGGCAACGGTGATGACGGCCAACAGTGACAGTGACAACAGCGATGATGACAACAGTGACGATGACCATGGCCAATGATGGTGATGATGACAATGACCAACGATGGTGACAATGACGGTGACCATGACCAACGATGGTGACGATGACAACGACCAACGATGGTGACAATGACGGTGACCATGACCAACGATGGGGACGATGACAATGACCAACGATGGTCACAATGACCAGTGTTAGGGAGAATGACAGTGACCATGGCCAACGATGGTGATGATGACAATGACCAGCGATGGTGACAATGACAGTGACCAATGATGGTGACAATGACAATGACCAACGTTAGTGAGAATGACAATGACCGTGGCCAACGATGGTGACAATGACAATGACCAACGATGGTGACGATGACAATGACCAATGTTAGTGAGAATGACAATGACCATGGCCAATGATGGTGACAATGACCATGACCAACGATGGTGACAATGACAATGACCAACGATGGTGACAATGACCGTGGCCAATGATGGTGATGATGACAACGACCAGTGATGGTGACAATGACTGTGGCCAACGATGGTGACGATGACAGTGACCAATGATGGTGACGATGACCATGACCAACGATGGTGACAATGACCATGGCCAGCGATGGTGACGATGACGATGACCAGTGGTGATGACAATGACCGACAGTGGTGACAATGACAATGACCAACGAAGGTGACCGATGACCAACAATGGTGACAATGAGAATGACCATGGCCAACGATGGTGACAATGACAATGACCAACGATGGTGACAATGACCATGGCCAGCGATGGTGACGATGACGATGACCAGTGGTGATGACAATGACCGACAGTGGTGACAATGACAATGACCAACGAAGGTGACCATGACCAGCGATGGTCGTGACGACGATGACAATTACCATGGTGACAATGCCAATGGCCAGCCATGGTGACAGTGATGATGATGTTGGCAGTGACGGTGACGATGACACCGATGGCGATGACACCGATGACGCCGCCACCACCGACGGTTCCGCGGCCCCTGGCCAGGCCCCTCCCCCACCCCTGCATGTTTATTTAACTCATTCCCGCTCTTTTCTCCCCAAAAAAACGCCCCCGACCCGAAGGCTCCGCTTGATCCAAACCATTCATTAATTAATTCCTCATTAATTAATAGCAAACATGAGGCAGCTCCCGTGGTGTCCCTTCACAGCGTCCGTCTGGATTATCCCGGGAATTTCCTGGTGCCATCGCTTGGACTTCCAAACAACAACCGCCGGATTTTTGGGGTGAATTCACAGGAAATTGGGAAAAATGGCCGGAATTCTGTTTTCCCGCCCTTTCGGGGTCACGGGTTTTCAGTTTGGGGTGAAAAAAAGTCGGATTTGGGGAGGTTTTTTTCCCAGGATTTTTTGGTTCTGTTGTTGTTTTTGCTTCGTTCGGTGGGAAAAAAAAAACGGGAAAAATCCCAAAAATCCCAGCTTGGATCCGTGCAAAATTCCCAGAAAAAGCTGTAAAGCCCCGGCTCCTTTCCTGCAGAAATAAATCCCCCTCCAGTGGAATTTCTGGTCATTCCGTGTCTTTCTTTATTCCCCCTTTTTTTTTTAAAATAAATTGGAAAGAGGGAAAATTCCAGGTGGTTTTCCTTTTGTGTTTTTGTTTTTTGTTTTGTTTTGTTTTTGTTTTTGTTTTTGGTTTTTTTTTTTTTGGTGGGATTTGGAGCTTAAAATGGAGGGAAAAAGGGCTAAAATTGGGGATTTGGGGATTCATTTAATAGGAAAAAATGGGACTTATTAGTAGGACATAATTAGATTTGTTAATAGGGAATAATTTGATTTATTCAATAGGGAATATGGGGTTTATTAATAGGAAATACGGGATTAGTGGGAAATACGGGATTGAATGGGAAATATGAGATTTACTGATAAGGAATATGGGATTTAATTAATTAATAGGGAATGGATTTAATTAATGGGAAATTTGGGATTTAGGGGGCGGTTCCAGGGGGTGATGAGGACAACAGGACCCCCCCCAAACTCCTCAAATCCCCCTAAAATCCCCCAAATCTTTCCAAACTCCCCCCAAATCCCCCCCCAAAAAAACCCAAAAACACCCAAATCCCAAAATCCCCTTGCCAAAAAAAACCCAAATCCCCTCCAATTTCCCCCCAAAATCCTCCCAAACACCCAAATCCTCCAGATCAAAGGGATTTGGGGGAAATTTGGGGGGATTTGGGGTTTTTGGGGAGGGTGATTTAAGGTTGGGGCGTAGGGCAGAATTTGGGGGGGGGGATTTGGGGTTTTTAGGGGGATTTGGGTTTTTTTGGGAGGGGGTTTTTGGGGGTTTGTGGGTGTTCGGGATTTTGGGGAGGGGGATTTCAGGGCGGTGGGGCGTGGAGCAGAATTTTGGGGAGTTTTGAGGGGATTTCAGGGAGTTCTGGGGGATTTGGGAGGGATTTGCAGAATTTCGGGGGATTGGGAGAGACAGGAATGAAGCGGGGAGGGGGATGGGAACTACGAGGCC